AAAAATAGAGAAGAGGAAGGTAGCCCTAAAGGAGTACGTTTTATCATAGTCTTTGAGGGATCACTGCCATTTTGATAGCAATTTTGTTGTAAACAATATCATTTATATTAACTGTTATCTTATGATTTTTGTGTATACAGAGAATGAGAGACAGAGAGAAGCTTTAGGTTTTTAAAAACGGCAAATGTAAAAAGGTCAAATATCATAAAAGAAGGAAGGAAATAGCACTTACTAAGCACCTATTGTTTATGACATGCCAGGCATTGAGCTAAGCACTTTACAAATATCTATCTCCTTTGATCTTAACAACAACCCTGGGAGGTCTGTACTATTGTTATCCATCCCCATTTTACATTGGAGGAAACTGGAACAGAGAAAGGTTCAGTGACTTGTCCAGGGTCACACACACTTCCAGTGTCTAAGACCCAGTGAAGAAAACCCCATAGGTCCAGTACTTTTTCAACTGTATCACCTGGCTGCCTCTAACCTGTAGAAAGGCTGCTTGATAATGTAAAGTATAGACATATTGTGAATCCTTTGTTTATACAAACTTTTTTACTGCAGCATTTACCTCTATAATAGAAAGATGTTTATTAGAAATTAGTTTTAAATATTACTAAACAGCATTTTGATAAATTTAAAAATTTTGTGCTTTACATTACAATTATTATTCATGCATTGTTTGATTCGAAACAATTATATAATTTGTTAAGAAATAAACATTGTTACTACAAAATAGTCTTTTACTCAAATTCATGGAATTATAGAATCAGAATTTTAGAGCTGGAAAGGAACCTTAGAGACCACTTAATCCAATCCACTCATTTAAAAATAAAGTTTTATTGGTAATTTTTGCTTTTTCTGGTAACTTCATTAAGTTTACAATTCATACAAGTCTTCTCATGTTTCTTTGAATTCTAACATTTATTTGTTTTTTCTTATGGTACAATAATATTTCATTACATTTATGTACCACAATTTTTCCAGCCATTTTGCAATTAATATATACTCACTGTGATTCCAGTTCTTTGCTACTACAAAAAATGCTGCTGTGACTATTTTGGTATGTATGGGGACCTTGCCTTTGCCTTTGACATCCTTGCGAATATATGTCCAGTAGAGAGATCTCTGGGTCCCGGGTAATAATTCAACATTTCCAGAAATATTTGACCAATTCAACAACAGTCGCTTATCTTTCTTCAGCTCCTCCAACATCAACTATTTCCATGTTTTGTCGTCTTTGCCAATTTTCATGGTGTGAGCTAAACCTTGGAGTTGTTTAATTTGCATTTTTCTTTTCGTTCAACTCCATGGCCTGCTTCTCCAGTGTACTTCACTTACACTTAAGATTGGTTATAATCTTGGTCAGAAGTGTTTCATATCCATGTTCAGGAAATCTTAATTTCCTTTATTTGATCATGGTCTTTTATCTTTCTTTATTGTCTCCTGTTCTTCATACTTGCCATGACCTACAATCCTTATATCCCTCAGTACTATCCCATGCTACACAATTTTCCATTCCCAGTCTAGAACCCTGGTTGAACTTGTTGACTGTATATTTTCCTCTACACTTGAATCTCTCGTACCTTTCTCTTGCAGATCTTGCTTTACCAAACCCCATCCCTGGATTGCTCATCATCATACTCCTTTGTTTCTACTCACACATTGCTGCATGAAATTAGAGGAAACTATGAAGCTGTGCTGACTGTGATCATCACCTAGTCATCTCCTCCTTCATTCCAGTCTTTGATGATGAGGTGGCCTCATCTGCCTGTCAAGGCCAATACCTTTACATGCTTCCATGGTCCCATTTCCTCCCATATTTGTCAGCATACTGTTCACACCATCATCGCCACTCCAATCTTCTGTCTCCCTGTCTACTTACTCCTTCCTTGCTGCTTTAAAAAAAAAAATTCATAGTTGCTCCAATCCTTTAAAAACTCTCTTTATATCTTACCAGCTAGCCAGCGATCACCCTTTATCTCTCCTTCCCTTCTTTGCTTAAGTCCTTGAAAAAGCTTTCTATGTAGTTGGTATGTCAACTTCTCTCATTCTCTTCTATACTCTCTACAATCTGGTTTCTCATCTCATAGTTCAACTGACATTATTCTCCAAAGCTACCATTGATCTCTTATTTGCCAAGACTAATGGTCTCTTTTCTAACTTCATTCTCTTGATGTTTCTGCAGCTCTTGACACTTAATCACTTTCTTCTTTTGGGAGCTTTTGCCTCTATGTTTTTGTGACTGCTGTATCCTGGTTTTCTTCCTAAATATCTGACTGGTCCTTTTCAGTCTATTTTGCTTGATCTTCATGTTACCAACTGTAGCTGTTCCCCAAGGCGCTTGTCTTGGTCTCTCTTCTCTTCTCTCTTTACTCTCACTTGGGTGATCACGTCAGCTCTCATTGGTTTAATTGTCATCTATATGGAGATGATAACCAGATCTATTTATCTAGCTCTAATCAGTCTCCTGACTTCCAGTTTCATGTTATTTAAGTGCTTGTTACTAAGTGCTCCCCCCCTTCAATTTTGAACTGAAATGTCCTAGAAATATTTCAGATTCTATTAGATCTAAAGTAAAACTTAGCATTTTCCTCCACCAAACCCTCCCCTTCCTGATTTCTGAACTTCTTTACTGTCAAAAGCATCACTATCCTTCTAGTCAGGTTCACAACACTGGTATCATCCTCTTGCTCACCCCACATATCTAGTCACCTGCCAGATAATTTCTCTCTCCATAGCATCTCCTCCTTATGTCTACTTCGTCACTCACACAATTACCACCCTAATATTTTCTTCTTGGACTATAGCATTTTAATTAGTTTTCCTGCCTCAAATTTCTCTTCTCTCAAATCCATTTTCCACGTAGTCACCAAAGTGATTTTTTTCTAAATCTTAAGTCTGACCATTCCTTACTTCTGTTTCTTAAACACCATTGCCTTCCTGTTACCTCCAAAATCAATTATAAAGTCCTTAGTTGGGCATTTAAAGTTCTTCATCAGCTGGTTCCTGTCTACCTTTCCAATTTAAGGAAGATCCTTTCTAAGATATAGCTGTAGCCTATTCGCTACTTCTCACAAACAATAATCCATTTCCCTTATAAAGATTTTTTTTCTCTGCCAGGAATGCCGTCACCCAGACTTCAAGTCTTAAAATCCCTACTTTCCTTTAAAGTCAGCCCACCGACAGGAGCCCTTTCCTTGTTTCCTCAACCTCTAGTGTCACTTCCTCTAAGATTACTTTCCATCTACTTTGTATTTAACTTGTATGTTCTTATTAGGATATGAGCTCCTTAAGGGCAATCAATTAATGAGTATATATTAAGCACCAGGTAGGTTGTGCCAGATACTATGCTAAACCACTAGGAAAACAAAGAAAGGCAAAAGACAGTCCCTGCTCTGGATGGAGAGACAACATGCAAACAAATATATACAAACAATGTATATATGGGATAAATAGGAAATAACCAGCAGTGGGAAGGCACTAGAATTAAGAGAGATTGGGAAAGGCTTGCTGTAGAAGGTTGTATTCCATCTGGTTTTTCTTACGGATTTAGCTTAGTGTCTGGCACAAGTAAACTCTTAATAAATACTTGTTGCTTGCTTATTAGTGATTTGTAGCAGTCTTTCATATGGTTGTTAATAATTAATAGAATCATAGACTTAGAGCTGTAAGAGACTTCAGAGATTATCTAGTTGAATCCCCTCATTTTTCAAATGTGGAAACTGAAGCCTATGTATTTTTTCAATGTGGAAGGCCTAAGGTCCCACAAATAGTAGAGGTGGATTTTAATTCAGATACTCCAACTTCAGAGTTATTTTTCTTTCTTTTGTACTATACTGCTAATTCATTTTATTTCTCTTTTTAGGGTTATCTCTATCCTTTTGGCTAATAAAATCTCTCCCAACTACAATTGCAAAAACTACCTCCTCCCTTTTTCTTCCATTAAATGTGTGTGTGTGTGTGTGTGTGTGTGTGTGTGTGTGTGTGTGTGTGAGAGAGAGAGAGAGAGAGAGAGAGAGAGAGAGAGATCTTTTATATGTAGGTTGTTTACTCATTTGGAACTTGTGTTATATGTTAGTTTAAATCTATTTTTTGCTTATTTTTCATTTTTTTCTAATAGTTTTTGTCAAATAAAGGAGTCCTTCCTCAAATAGATTATGCTCTGGAATTTCTTAGGCTACTGAGTTCAGTGGTTTCTGATTCCTGCTTATCCAACCTGTTCCACTGATCTACTTTGCTCAGTTTTTGTTCTGTTTGACTTACCCTGCAATCTTCTCACATTGATTCTACATAGTATGAAGCCTAGTTTAATCCTTTTGGCCAGGAGTGATCTCTCTTCTTTTTTATTATACTGTCTTCTCCCCCACTACACCCTAATATTTCCCTTATGTACTTATCTTCTATTTTGTAGTATTAAAATTATTTACATACATGCTTTCCTTTCTTCTACTAGATTGTAATCTCTGTTGGCAGAGCCTGTGTCATCTTATCTTTATATTTTTCTCAGTGCCTAATATGTTACTTTGTACCTTGTAAGGGTTTGACAAATTTGAAGAATTTATTATCTAAATTGACAAAAATATTAACAAAGTATAATTTTATTATAATTCTACATCCTTAGCTATATAAATGCATATGTATGTTTTTGTACATATGGATTATGTGATACATTTTTATGTTATAAATACATAGATCTTGGTCTATATAAGGTATTATTACATTAGAATTTACTTTCATCTAGTGTCTGTGTCATATTTTTTTTTTTTTTTTTGGTGAGGCAATTGGGGTTAAATGACTTGCCCAGAGTCACACAGCTAGAGAGTGTTATGTGTCTGAGGCCAGGTTTTGAACTCAGGGCCTCCTGACTCCAGGGCCAGTGCTCTATCCACTGCGCCACCTAGCTGCCTCTGTGTCATATTCTTGTGACTTTAATAACTATTTTCTAGTGGAAATCTTAATCTAATTTTTTTTTTCTTTTTCTTTAGGAGTAAGAAAATTTTAAATAAGAAAAAGCTGAAAAGGAAACAGAAGACCAAATCAAAAGTGAAAACAAGAAGCAAGGTAAATGATTGACAGTATAGATAAACTTAAGATTTCCATTTGACATAAAAACTTTTAAAGACAAATAAAAATATAGGTGAAAAACAGGTAAAAAGCCATTCTTAGACTCAAAAGACTTAGCATTGAAAAGGGTCTTAGAAATTAGTGTAATCACCTCAGTTTACAGTTAAGAACACTATCACAGAAAGGTTGAGTGATTCAAGATCACATAGTCACAGAATTGGGACTAGAACTCAGATTTCCTGAGTCATAGTTTAGTGTTCTTTCCCTACACTATACATGATCCTGTTACATCTTTTCAATATAACTATTTATAGGCAAAAGGAAGTAGGAATGCTCCCTATAATGACATTGCTTTTCTTTAGCAGTATGTCAAAGATGTTACTATTCATGTCACTTCATAAACTGCAGTTTTGTGACTATTGATGACTTCAAGAAAGGAAAATTTTTCGGTATTTGGTCTTAGTGTTCCTTCTCTTGGAAATGAGAATTGTCTGTTTATTCTTTTTCTAGTGTACTTAGTATTAATCTATGATTTAGTTAATAGATTAAAATCTTGTTTATGGACATTAATTTCTATATCCATTTCCAGATATAGAAAATACAGACCCCTGTGTATATTTAGCATTGACCTTAGAGAGATGAAGGTTCTTGAAAGTTATTAATTTAATATCTTCCCCAGTATTGAAATCCTTTCTACAATATCCCTTTCAGATTCCCTTTCATTCCGATTGACTGATCATTGGTAGAGAGTTTGCTGTAACGCAACCCGTTTCAATTTGATCAACTCTAGGAGAGTATCTTAGGAAACTATCATAATTTTAAATAGGAATTGTCTTTGAAATGAACATTATATCAAACTAGTTTTGTGTATCACTTGAATTTTTCAAAGAATGTCATATTCCATTTTTCTAGGGTAAGAGAGAGAAGTGTGGACTATTTTTAATGTATGTACAAAGTATGCACAAAAATATAAAATTCTGAGTTTTCCTCCCAACCATTATCAGGGCTGTGGACAAAAAGAATTTCAAACTTCTTTTAAGTCCTTATCTTCTCTTAACTTATTGTTTCCCAAGAAAAAACAGTTAGGGCCAAGGAACAGGTGAAAGGTGAAGATCTCATGTTTTCTTTAGTGGTTCTGTTTTTAAACAGGAATGAATTGATGGCAGCAATGACGATCATTTAGACAGCTCAGCTCAGTGATGATTGCATTGCAGATAGCTAAGGCAAATAATCTTCATGTGAGCATGTACATATAAAATTTAAGGGTCAGATATGGCAGCAGTTCTTTGTAGGGGAGAAAAAAGATTTTTCAGGGTTATGAGCTGGCATTAACAGCTTTCTCTGCTCTATAGATATGAAATGCCTTTTGTACAGAGGTAATATATTCAAATAACTTTTAATTTTCAATTTTAATTTTAAAAAACTTTGTTTTATCTTTACATAACTTATTTAAAAGATTACTGAATAATTTTAAAATGAAATTTTCTTGTGGAATAATAATGGCAGTGTTAAAATATGCTGTTGTCACAATTTATCAATTACATCTTGCATATAATTTAGTACTAGACTTGTAGGGACCTTAGAAGCCCTCTAATATACCTATATAGTGTCATAGGAGCATAGATTTAGATCTGAAAGGGACTTTGGAGGACATTGAATCTGATTTCTTCCATATTTTATAGTTTAGGAAACTGAGACACAGTGAAGTTAAATGACTTAGCTAGTAAGTTTCTGAAGCAGGATATAAGCTCAAATCTTTCTGACTCTAAGTCCAGTACTCTGTTGATTGCACCAAGCATTTATGTTTACAATTTCATCAGTGTAGAGAATCCTTGTTATGGAAACTCTTATCTATGCAGACACAACCTGGAAGTGACATATAGCAGATTAGTCCTAAGGAACTAATGGTCTGAGGCACATAGAGGTTAAGTGGTTTGCTTAAGATCATGCAGATGGTAGAATCTGAAACCTGTCAAGTCTTCTTGATTTTAAGCCCATTGCTTTATTTGTTCTGCCTTCCCTGCTGCTTTGTATTTACCATCATATCTGTTAATAACAGGATAGAATTTTGAGACTGGTAGGTTTTAGTATTTTATATGTTATTTATCTTGGATGTACTCAGTTGTTGGACCCCATATTTTTGGAACAATATAGGACAAATATTGTTTTCTACACTATAGAGATCTTTCTCAATTCTCTGTGTACCCTTTGATTACTTCAGTATTTTTTTAATTGTAGCATTGAAAACTGAATTACAGAATAAATAATCCAAAATTTATTTATCAAAATTGGATTTCTACTTTAATAAAGACTGAGAGCCCAATGAAATCAAAGCTATATATAGTCATATAAAAATTCTCTAAATCATTATTGATTAGAGAAGTACAAATTAAAACAACTCTGAGTTACTATCTCACACCTATCAGATTGGCTAAAATGATAGAAGGGGAAAATGACAAATGCCAGAGGGGATGTGGAAAAATTGGGACATTGTTGGTGCAATTGTGAACTGATCCAGCCATTTTGGAGGGCAATCTGGAATTATGCCCAAAGAGTTATAAAACTGTGTCTACCCTTTGACCCAGCAATATCCCTATTAGGTCTGTTTCCAAGGTGATCAGGGAAAAAGGAAAAGAGCCTATAAGTTCAAGAATAATTATAGCATAGAAATGATGAGCAGGCAGATTTCAGAAAAACCTAGAAAGACTTATATGAACTGATGCTGAGCGAAGTAAGAAGAACCAGGAGAACATTGTACACAATAACAGCAACATTATGCAATGACCAGCTTTGATAGTCTTAGCTTTTCTCAGCAATACAATGATCTAAGACAATTCCAAAAGATTCATGATGGAAAAATGCTATCCACATCCAGAGAAAGAACTATAGAGTCTGAAATCGAAACGTACTATTTTCTTTTTTTTCTTTTTCATTGTTTTTCCCATTTGCTCTGATTCTTCTTTCACAACATGACTAATGTGGAAATATGTTTAATATGATTGTACATGTATAGCCTATATCACATTGCATGCTGTATTGAGGAGGGTGTGTGGAGGGCAGGGGAGAAATTTGGAATTCAACACCTTATAAAAGTGAATGTTGAAAACTAAAAACAAGTAAATAAACTGTTCCTATTAAAAAAAAGAATATAGCAACTCTCTTTTTGGTGGCAAAGAATTATAGCTACTTTATACATATTAGCTTTATAAATGTGTACCTAAGAAAATATGTAGTATTAAGAAAAAAATGGTATTTTTGGTAATAAATCTTAATAAATTTCTCTCTGATAGTATCGAAGTGGTATGTAACATTTCAGAAAAGAAGGCAGGGAAACAGTGATACCATGCAAGATGTTTTATTTTGTTCAATTAACAGGCATTTATCTTCTTTCCCTCTTACCTTCTTCCCCCACTATGAAAAACAAAAAAACAAAAAAAAAGGTCCTTGCTACAAATATGTAACAAATTCTCATTATCCATATCCAGAAATCAGTATCATAGAGTTTATCACTTCTCTGTTGGGAAGTGGGTGGGTCACTTCACTCTGCATCAGTTCATACTGCTTTCCTAGGTTTGTCTGAAAACATCCCCTTCATTGTTTCTTATATGGCACAAAAGTATTTTATAACATTCATATACCATAATTTGGGAACTATGGCCCCAAAGTTACTTAACTTTGACGCAGTGATATAACCACCACCACTATGCCTATACCCCTAAAAGATCAAAGAAATAGGAAAAGGTCTTTAAGATATAAAAATACTTGAAGCAGCTCTTTTTGTGGTGGTGAAGTCTTTGGCCTTTCTCAGTCCTTTTGTGTGACCCTTCTTTTACAGTGTGATTTCTACCATCTTTTCCATATTTGCATTAAAGTCACCTGGACTCAAAGTGTACGCTGTTTTATTTCAGAGAGTTTTATCAAGTTCTTGAAAAAAAATTTTCTACCTCTTCATCCTCTGAAGCAGATATTGGTACAAAAACTGTTCATGGTGGCCTTTTTGCAGATACTTCTCATAAGCAATGCAATAAGAGATGACTACTCCATCGTATGGCATTTTTTGCTGTCTTTGGATCTGTGCTAAAACTAATTTTGTCAACTGCTTTTCTTGTCTCCAAGGAGAATCTATATGCCACCTTTTTATTTAGCTGAAACTTCTGATTTCCTTCGTAGTGAACTTGCCAAGACTGATAAAATTTTGTTCCTCTAGTAGAAGGATTCTTAATCTTTTTTTGTGTGTTATGGGCCCCTTTGGGTGTCTGGTGAAGCTGATAGATCCCTTTCAGAATAATGTTTTTTCTTTTTTTTTTTTAAGGCAACTGGGGTTAAGTGACTTGCCCAGGGTCACACAGCTAGTAAGTGTCAAGGGTTTGGTCTGAGGCCAGATTTGAACTGAGGTCCTCCTGACTTCAGGGCCGGTGCTCTATCCACTGCGCCACCTAGCTGCCCCCAGAATAATGTTTTGAAATGAATAAAATAAGATTCATAGATTACAGAGAACCAAAGAGTAGTTTACAGATCCCCTGAAATCTATCTGCAGTCCTCTTGAGGGTTTGTGCACCTCCTGTTGGGAACCCCTGCTCTACTAGTATTTCTGCTTATTTGGTCATTGGATACATTACATTTATAGCACCCGTAACCAAATTAAAATAAATACATGGATTAAAAACTGCCACCAGTGCAATGTAGGTTCAGAATACAGTGAATTGAGTCATTGCACTGCTTGCTACATTTGAATGTGAAGTTTTTATACTTGAAGTTCAACATTCTGTGAAAGTTAAAAACACCACAGTATCGGCAATGTAGTGTATTGGATAGAGAGCTAGAGTCAGTGATGGGATGGATTCAGGATCTACTTCTGACACATACTGGCCCTGTGAACCAGGACAAGTCTCTTAACTTTTCATTGTCACAGGCAGTACTCTAATTCTGTAAGTTGCAAGGATATGCAGCCTTGAATATTTGGTGGATATTTTTGAAATATTAAAATAATTTAAGGGACTTTATTCGTATTCTGATCCACAAAAACAGTGGCTGAATTTATGAAAAAGTTGGAGCCATTGATAATAAATATACAAAATAACATTTTTTCTTGTTTTCCAATTTAAAAAAAACCTATACTGAAAATGAAATAGAAGAAAGTAATGACCTGCTTATTAATTACTAAACCCATCTGTAGAAATAGTTTTCACTTTAAATACCTAGCTATTTCTAAATGTGACTAGATATGGAACACATTTGCCATAATCATCATAGCTAGTATTTATATAGTACTTTAGTTTTGCAAAACACTTTACAAATATTAACTCTTTTGATTTTCACAATAATCCTGAAAGGTAGGTCCTATTATTTTATCCCCATTTTACAGATGGGGATACTGAGAACAGGTTTATTGATTTGACCAGGGTCACATAGGTACAAAGTTTCCAAGCCAGTATTTAAATTTAAGTCTGACTCCAGTTCCAATGCTCTATCCATTGTGTCAACTAACTGCCTCAAAGGATATGGATAATTATGACATATTCTGAACAGGAATGATTATGATAATTTTTTGAAGACTGCTAGTGAAGGAGAACCCACTAAGAATCTCTTTGTCTCCCTTACCCCCAATTTTGTCAACATTCTAACCTAACCTTGTGGCATTTACCTTGCTTACTTTATTGAGGTGGTCCTATTCTGTGAAGTAATCATGATATTCCAGTCGACTTTTTCATTAGCATAATAAAATCACTTTGCTTGTGTCAGGAGATAGATTAAGCACCTGTAGTGTGACTTTCTATGACATTTTAAGAAATGCTTTATGCATTACTATGCACAGAACACAGGCTGGTCTTCAGAATAATCCATTGTACGTGGGGTATTTTATAGCAATAAAATTCTTCCCATACACCGTTCCTAGACTTGCAAAAACAAAACAGTACTTTAGGTGTTTTTGAGGTAAAGGGTTTTTCCTATTTGTGTCTTACTCAATACTTATTGCTTTTTCATTTTTCTTTTTATTGGGTATCAATTGATGCAAAAATGGCATACTTTTATTTTGAAATAAAAATTTTAATCCTCCAATCATTATTTTATTTTCCTTATGAATAAAAAAATTCTCTGCATCAATTAATGCAGCATAGTTGTTTGAGGTATTCTTAAATTCTGGTCCTTCTAGTGTTAAACAAGATTAAAGACAGCAGTTGTCCCTACATGAGCTCTGATAATATGAACATTTTTGTCATTTCATATGTCTCTTGGGTGGCTATAATGAAAATACAATATTTTAGAGATTCCAGGGCAGTGTGAAAATACTATATCTGCCACTTTTGAAGGCTTTTGACAAATTCCTATTGCTATCTTGTCTTTCTTTCTCTTTTTGAGAGTTCTTACCTACTGTCTTCACTAGCCTTTTCTAATTTCAAATTTCTGGTACACTACTTTTGAAAGGTTGCTGCTCCTTTCTTTAGAATATATATGTTGATTTGAAGGGAAAATAGACAAGAGACCTCAGGACTGATAATATCCAAAGACTGGGGTCTTTTCTTCCCTTTGTAATGAACTGAAAGCTAAGAGACCTGGGTTTTTTTGTTTTTTTTTTCAATCTTTTTTTTTCCTACATACTGTGATATTGGTCAAGTTGCTTAACTCCTCTGGGCATCAGCTTCTTCACCTATAAAACAAAGTGGCTCTATTCATCATCTGGAAGGCCCCTTCTGGCTCTAAAAATGTATAATTCTCTGAGTCTCTTTTTTACAATATTGAGCGCAAAGTATTCTCTCTGTTTCATTCAGTATTGATCATTCTTTCTGTCTTTCTCTGGTTCTATATCATTTGTCTCTGAGACTCTGTCTTTCTCTTTTCTGTCCTGTACCTGTGTGTTTTACTCTTTCTTCTATTCCCACATATAATATGTCTATCCCCATTAAGCTCTGGCAGGTCTTTCCAAGGTAGAAAGACTTTAAATACAGGCCTAGCAATGGACATCGTGTGTATCTGTCATATAAGGATCAGACTACCTGAGTTAGAGGCATTGACATGTTGTCTATCTTTTGGTTATACATGCAAGCAAACACACATATATACACACATCTCACAACCTCATTGTTTCTGGACCTTTCTTATTTTCAGTTCATTTCTCTTTTTCACTCTGTTGTTTCGTTGCTGATTTTGTATTGCTATCTTCCTTGTAGGAAACACACAGTGTGCTTAAGGATATTCTGAAATTAATAAACCAGATGATACTAGTTGGTATGTTCATGGGGTAAAACATGCTAAAAATAGACATTAAATTTGTTTAATTTCACATTATAGACATATCTTAAATTGTTCATTTGATTATATTTTATTTAGCAAGATATACAATATCATCTCTGAGAGAAAAGAACCATTTTCTAAAATCTACCATATAAAATTCATGCATCTACCTTTCTATTTATTGAATCTGTGATTTCACTTATATGAGATAACTCTCTCTGCCAGTATGCATTGGCATCTGAAGCTTTTAAATTTTAGAGAATTATTTGGGGCTATGTAGAGTCACTTCTGTAATCTGTTAGAGGCAGGACTTGAAGCCAGAGCTTCCTGGTTCTAAGTCTAGCTTTTTATCTCCTACAGCAGAGGTGTCCAACTTGCCTCTGTGGCTAAAATGTTATTGGGACAAAATAAATAAAAAAATATTACAACCTAGATGATGTTAATTTGTTGTTTTCTAAATCAGCGTACAAAGGGCAGTCTGACACCATGGCCCTCCTTCATGCTGCCTCTACCAAATTTAGCGTCATGGGTACTGAGCTGTTTGGAGATCTAATAGTCTAAATTTTTTTAATGGCAAATGAAAATGAGTCATTTGTAAAAACTGAAAAATGCTTTCTTTGTATTTCAGTCTGAAAACTTGGAGAATACAATTATCATACCAGATATCAAGCTGCATAGCAATCCATCTGCTTTCAACGTTTATTGCAATGTACGCCATTGTGTTCTGGAGTGGCAGAAGAAGGAAACATCTCTGGCTGCTGCATCCAAGAGCTCTGTGCAGAGCGGTGACTCAGACAGTGATGAAGAAGAAGAACCTAGAGAGCCACCTGTCAAACTTCCCAAGGTAAGCAGCCTTAATAACTCTGCAGAGCACATACCTGATTTACTGTGACGTGGATGAGCTCATTTCAGAAAAGTCGACTCTCACCCTTGTAATAGATATAACCTTGAAGTTTAAGCTGGTTAATGGATAAGACAGAATCAATAAGTTGTGAGAAATTATTTCCTTTAAAAATTACTTATGTGTCCCTATTTTCTTCATCTGAGTTCCTGGCAGCTTTAGTACCTTTAACAGAATAGCCCATATAAAAGTTTGGATTCCTGGCAATAAACAAGAAAGGCAGATGGCTGTCACACAGAAATTAGATATATGTGGTTATTCTTTTCAAGTAAAACTATCAGGCAAACTGTAATGCAAAGTAGTAGATATGCAAAGCATTCTGGAAATGGTGATGATAATGCATGTTTAATTATATGTGGTATGAAATACTGCTTGGCAACACTGAAGAAGACTAATTAGATAAGAAGGGGCCAGGTTGTGAAAGACTTTAATGCCAAACATAGGACTTTATATTTGATCGTAGGTGTAATTACAAGCCATTTGAGATTATTGAGCAAGGAAATGACATAATCAGACCAATGCTCTAAGAAAGTCACTTTGGAAGGGGATGGATTTGAGTAGGGCTAGATCCAGGGCAGAGAGAGCTATCCCAAGGCTCTTCTAGTAATCAAAGCAAGAGGTATTGAGGGCCTGAAGTAGGGTGATGGCTGGGGAAGTGGAGAAAATGTGATATATGCAAGAGAATTAAAGAGAAAGAAACTTAACAATCTGACAAATAATTGAATGTGTGGTGGGGACATATGAGGAGTCCAGGGTGACAGCAGGGTCATGAGCTTGGGTGACTGGGAGAATGGTGGTACTTTTTACAGTACTAGCGAAGTTCAGGAGGGAATTTGCCATGCACTGTGTTCAGCACTTTTACAAATAGTATCTCATTTGATCCTGACAACAACCCAGCAAGGTGTTATTATCCCCATTTACAGTTGATTAAATAGAGGTTAATAGGCAAAAAGAGGTTAAGTCATTTGACCAGGGTCACACAGCTAGTATGTGTCAGACACTGGATTTGAATTTAAGTTTTCCTGACTCTAGGTCCAGTGCTCTATCCAATACACCACCTAGGTGCCCCTGGAAACTAGGAGGTAGAGTGATTGAAGGAGAAAGATGGTAGGTTTTGTTTTAGACATATTGAGTTTGAGATGTCTCTGGGAGATTCACTTTGAAAAATATATGACAGATAGTTGATAATAGGGGACTGCAAATTGGGAGACAGACTAGGGCTGTATAAATATGAAAATCATTTGTACAAAAATAATTTAACCCGTGGAAGTTGATAACATCATCAAGTGACAGATTATAGAGAGAAAAGAGAAGAAGGGCCAAGAGAGAGCCTTGAGGGACAACCACAGCTGATAATTATGTAATGGATAAAGATCCAAGAAAGTAGACTGACAAGGAGTGGTTAGGTAGGTAGGCGGAGAACCAGGAGAGAGCAGAATCACAACAACCCAGAGACGAGAGAGCATTCAAAAGAAGGAAATGATCAACAGTGTCAAATGCTGCAGAGAGGTCAGGAAGGATGAGGCCGTTCAATTTGACAATGAGTTTGGTAGCTTTAGGGAGGATAGTTTCAGTTGAATGATGAGGTCAGAAGTCAGATTACAGAGACCAAAAGGAAAAGTCAGAACACCATTTGTAGACAGTTTTTTTTTTCCCTGAGGAATTTAGCTGAGAAAAAGAGAAGAAAAAGGATAATATTTGTCTAGCTGGTACAATTTGCAAGCATTTTTTCAGGATAGGGGAGACTTGACCATGCTTTTAGTGACAGGGAATGAGTAAGTAGAGAGAGGTAAAAGAGAGACAGAGGGTGGTGGAATGTGGTAGAGGCAGTCTGCTGGCAAATATGGGAAGAGATGGAACCATGGAAACATATACAGATGTTGATCTTGTCAGGCAGATGGGGTCATCTAATCAGAGACTGGAGTGAAAGGAATGATCTCACAAAGATATGACATGAAGACGTAAGAAGGAGGAGCTGTTAACAATTGACTTTACTTTTGGGAGGGAGCAAAAGAATGAATAAAGTCCTTAATAGAGAGTGTTGGGGGTGCAGTGGTGTGGGTGAATTAAGGAGAAAATAAAAGTTTGGAAGAACAGCTATAGCAAGTGGTATATAAAAAGTCTATTAGGCAGGAGTAGTAGGATTGCCTTGTTGTGAGGGCCCAGTTGAGATTAGATAGTATAGATCTGAAGTGGACTTAGTCGGCAGTTCTGTGATTTCTTCCAGGTCTGTTGAAGAAAATGTGAGGAAGAGTGAAAGTGGCAGATTATAGGGAGTAATCTAGGATTAGAGTTTGGCAAGTCATGATCAGCAATGAAACAAGGGGTTCAAGAGTAGAGGATGGCATAGAGTTGAAATAGTTCATCAAGGGGTCAAGATTGGAAAGGGGATTAAGTATAACCAGAACAAGGTTGATAGCATGAGATAGTACCGAGGGATAGAGGGATTGGAAGTCATGGTGAGTATGAAGAGTTTGAGGAGTGAGACTAGGGAGAAAGGAAAAGATAAGATAAAAGACTATAATGAGATAGAGTCAGAAACACCTGAGTTCAGATCCAGCCTCAGGCATTTATTAACTGTGTGACCCTGGACAAGTCACTTAACCTTTGCCTCAGTTTCCTCATCTATAAAATTGGGATCATAATAACAACAACCTTATTGTGAGATCAAATGAGATGATGTTTGTAAAATGCTTAGTACAGTTCCTGAATCACAGTAGGTGCTTAATAAATGCTTTATTTCCTTCCTTTCTCAAACAAATAAAATGAAAAGTTCTTGAAATTGAACACTTGTGGGTATGGCAGATCGAGGTTATGGCCATCCTTTTGCATAACTGAGGTGGAGCGGAGGAATGGGTACTGGAAGATGAGTAGACTAAGGAACTAGGAAGTTAAGATACTTATCAATGTCCCCTAGAATGAGAGAAGAAGTTGGTGTGGGAAGGCAGACTACACAGACACTGAACTCAATGGAACTCATACAGAAACCACAGTTGCATGTAAAGAAGTCATTATCAATATTGTCATTTTAAGGCACTGCCATGATGAAATATGTAAATAACATTTCCACAAATATCATCTTGTGAGGAAATGCCTGAATTCAGTTGAATGTATTTTCATTTAAAGATTGGCTGAAGCAAGTGTTCACAACAATCAATATTGACTTTTCCATTTATGTATTTAGGAATTTAAAGAGCTGGAAATAGTACCCAAATTATCTGGTGCCTGTTTTAGCATTTCATCTACTATTCTGCTAGGATTATTGCCTTTTTCATCTGGAGAATACCATTAGAGGGTCTCTACTCTAGTGAATTCTCATTTTTATTTTCCTTCTGTGTATGAGGGAATTAGTTCTTTTTTTTTTCTTTGTTTTTGGTGAGGCAATTGGGGTTAAGTGATTTGCCCAGAGTCACACAGCTGGTAAGTGTTATGTATAGGAGGCCTAATTTGAACTCAGGTCCTCCAGACTCCAGGGTCGGTGCTCTTTCTACTGCACCATTTAGCTGCCCCACGGGACTTAGTTCTTAAGAATAACATTTATCCAAATATTTATTTAATTTTTTTCTTTGGAAACCAAATATATCTAATTTTGCATCTGTGTAGTACAAGTCAAGTAACTGAATCACTGTGTTGGATTTGCTTCTTCTTCTTCTTCTTTTTTTTTTTTTTGCATTCCCACTGCCCAACTCATAGTAGATACTTAATAAGTGCTTGTTGACTAATTCATCCTGGGTGCCATATTTTAAGAGATCATAGACAAATTGGAACCCATCAAGAAGTTGGTAAGGATCTGAAAAAGTGTCTTAGAAAAATGGTAGGGGCTTTTCAGTCTGGAAAAGAGAGAACAAGAGATGAGGGAAGTAGGGGAGAGAGTAGCTTTTTTAAAATACAAGTACAGCTGTCATATCTACAAGTTTAATTAATTAGATTTTCTTCTTTGTAGCTCCTGAGGGCAAGAACATTCATCCTTAAACCCAGGTGTTTGCCTTTCACTGATCTGTAACTAGTGTCTTGGCCCCTGACTCTATGTGATTCCCTGAGTTAAAAGAGCCACACAATCCATAATTAATTTCCTTTCCCAGTTGCTGCTATTACATATTGGTGCTCAGTTCTTGCACTTGCTTCCCTTTTTTTCCTTTCTTATCATGTATTTCCACACATTCCATACTCCAAGTGAGTATTTTCTAGGGTTATTTTACAAGTGTTTGTTTGTTCCTCCTCGTTTCCATGCCTTAGGCTTGTTTCTTCAAGGATCAACTTAGGTTTAGGTTCTACCTACTCTGTAAAGACTTTGCTATCCCCAGTTGTTAATTCTCTCTCTTTGTCTCTGTCTCTGTCTCTGTCTCTGTCTCTCTCTCTTTACCTCCCCCCCAATCTCTCTCATCTTCTTTTCATCCTCTGTTTGTATACATGTTGTGTTTCCTTGGTAGAATGTGAACCACTGTTCATTTTTGTCTTTTAGAAAGTAGCACAGTGCTTTATAGATAGATATATAGTACATTTATTAAGTGCTTACTATATGCCAGGCACTGTGCTAATTGCTGGGTATGCAAGTGAAAACAAGTAAAACAGCCCTTGCCCTCAAGGAACTTACATCCTGATGGGGAAAAAAATAACTCATACTTAACTCTTACAAAATCAGATACGTTCTCCAGCAACTTGTATCTGAACTTATATCCTCAGCATATATATTCACTTGTTTCAGAAATTAAAAAAGATAAGATCAGACAATATCAGAGTGCCCTTCCATCTTCAAATCTAGAGTATCCTAATTCCTATGAATCAGTTTCCTTTTGCAGAGGTGTAGACTCCCTCTCAAATCCCAGCCAGCTTGCCATTTGCTCTGCCATTGCACTGCTTCCCCATACCTGAAATGGCATCCTGGGACCAGACTGCCAGAAAAATGTCCCCAGCCACTGGGAAACTTAATCTACACATCTTCA